TACACGGCGTGGTGGCAGGGCCAAGGTGAGCCCGCGGTGCTCACGGGGAGGGACTCACGCCCTGGGCCACCCCACTGCCAGGCCCACAGAGCTGCTGACACTCACGCCCTGGCTGGCGCCCATCGTGTCCGAGGGGACCTTCGACCCGGAGCTCCTGCAGCTCATCTACCAGCCGCTGAACCTGACCATCGGGCTCACCGTGTTCGCCGTTGGGAAGTGAGTCCGGGAAGTGAGTTGGGGGGTGGGTGGGGGAGGGGTGGTCCTCTCTGAGCCACGGGAGCTTCCAGTCCGGGATGAGGCAAGGCCTGGACGCAGCAGCCCACGCAACCTCCCTGAACCAGGTGCTGCGCAGGGGGAGGCAGAGAGGAGCGGGGGTTGGTGGACAGGGCTTCCTGGAGGAAGGGGGGGGTCAGCCCCGGGGAGGGAACAGCAGAAGCCCGTGTCAGAGGCCCCTCACCCCTCTCCGCTTCTCCTGGACAGTCAGGCAGGCAGGAAGGAGTGGAAACCCCCTAGACCACCCCATAGAAGTGGGGGTCCATGTCCAGGCCACCAGCAGGTCCAGAGACCCACGCTGAGCCGGCCCCGCCCTGCCCCTCTCTTCCCCACCCTCTGCTGCCTGCTCTCTGGCTTTCTCCTGTTCTCCTCTCTCCTCCCACGTGGCTTTTCCTATAAGAGCCACCACCTGGCAGCTTCCCTCTGGGTCCCTTTCCAGGACTCAGAGAGGGACCGTGATGGGCCCCTATGGCTTGAAGTGCTGGCCAGATGATGGGTGAGCCCTGGTCCAATCAGCTGTGGCCTGGCGGGCGGGCCCCGTCGGTTCACCTGCCCTGGGCCCCCAGCACCACTCACCTTTCCTTGAAGCAGCCACTGCCCTGCTTGGTCCCTCTCCTCTCCGTGACGCAGCGTCTGCCTGTGCAGTGGGTTACGGTGGAATCCCTCAGACCCGCTGGCACTGAGAAAGTGCTCAGTAGGAGGTGGGCTTGTGATGTGACCGTCAGCGCCACTCATCATTCTGCAGAGGCAGGTGCTATGATGGTGGCATCTGACAGATGAGGACCCCTCGGGTCAGAGTGAGTGACGGCTCACGGTGGGGAGCGGAGAGGTGCCAGCACGCGTGGGGGCCTGGGCAGGGCGCTGCCGGGCCACCGGGATGACAGGCTCTTGCACCAGGTACACGGGCTTCGTCCAGCACTTCCTGGAGTCGGCCGAGCAGTTCTTCATGCGGGGCCACCGGGTGCGCTACTACGTCTTCACCGACAAGCCCGCGGCCGTGCCCCGGGTCCCGCTGGGCCCTGGCCGCCTCCTCAGCGTCCTGCCCATCCAGAAGCACTCCCGCTGGGAGGAGATCTCCACGCGCCGCATGGAGACCATCAGCCAGCACATCGCCCAGCGGGCGCACCGGGAGGTGGACTACCTCTTCTGCGTGGACGTGGACATGGTGTTCCGGAACCCCTGGGGCCCGGAGACCTTGGGAGACCTGGTGGCCGCCATCCACCCCGGCTACTATGCCGTGTCCCGCCAGCAGTTCCCCTACGAGCGCAGGCATGTTTCCACGGCCTTTGTGGCCGACGGCGAGGGGGACTTCTATTATGGCGGGGCGGTCTTTGGGGGACGGGTGGACAGGGTGTACGAGTTCACGAGGGGCTGCCACATGGCCATCTTGGCGGACAAAGCCAATGGCATCATGGCGGCCTGGCAGGAGGAGAGCCACCTGAACCGCCGCTTCATCTCGCACAAGCCCACCAAGGTGCTGTCCCCCGAGTACCTCTGGGACGACAGGAAGCCCCAGCCCCCCAGCCTGAAGCTGATCCGCTTCTCGACGCTGGACAAGAACACCCACTGGCTGCGGAGCTGATGGTAGAGTCGGGGCTGCCGTGGACGGGGACTCAGTGGAGCACCCAGCAGCCCCAGGGAGCACCCAGCTCACTCCAGAGGAACACCTAGCAGCCCCAGGGAGCACCTAGCTCACCCAGAGGAGCACCCAGCTCACCCCAGGGAGCACCCAGCTTACTCCAGAGGAACACCCAGCAGCCCCAGGGAGCACCTAGCTCACCCAGAGGAGCACCCAGCTCACCCCAGGGGAGCACCCAGCTCACCCCAGGGGAGTACCCAGTAGCCCCAGGGAGCACCCAACTCGCCCCAGAGGAGCACCTAGCTCACCCCAGGGAGCACCCAGCTTGCCCCAGGGGAGCACCCAGCAGCCCCAGGGGTGTACGCAGCTCACCCCAGAGGAGCACCCAGCAGCCCCAGAGGAGCACCCAGCAGAGCACCCAGCTCGCCCGTAAGTGCCTCACTTCCCACGCCTTAGCTGAGACCTGCCCTGCCCGGCCTGCCTCCCTGTCAGGAAAATCCAACGGGAAAGAGACGGGAAGGGCCTTTATACACTGTAAAGGGCTGTGCACACATGAGAACGCAAACCTCGAATGTCGCCTAAGAGGGGGACAGGGAGGGGAGACTAGTGGTGAAGCGGGCAGGCCCGGAGGCTCCCACAGACGTGCCTTCGGCGGCTCTGCAGCCTGCCCTGCTCAGCGCCTGCGTTCCCACCCCACCCCCTTTTGCTGCCTGTTGCCCTTCGAGCTCACTTGTCACTGCTGGTTGTGAAGGGCACCCAGGTCCCCTTTTCCCGGCCGCAGGGCTCCCGGCACGGCAATGTCCCCCAGCCATCCTCACTCAGGACCCCCTCTGGTTTCCAGTCCAGCTGCACCCACTCCCCATGCGGCCTCCCTGGCCCTGCCGCCTCTTTTGTAAGAAGGCTGGGGCAGTTTTCCTAACGGCGGAGCCTGCTGGGCCCTAACCAGGGCTTCCCCCCTGTGCATCTGCGAGCACCTTGGTCGCGGAGAGGAGAGGTGGAGGGCAGGAAGGGGTGCGCTGTAGCCACATCCGGATGGGCACCCACCCTGGAGAAGCTGGGTGCCAGCCCGGAGCCCACTCCTGCAACACGGTCTGGCTGGTGATCACCAGGGTCGGGGAGACCGAGGGACCAGTATGAGGAGAAAGCCTGGGCTGGCGAGGCCCTGGGGTGCTTCCGAGGCAAAGGGACAGGGGGGGGCGTGGCCTGTGTGTCCCCAGTGGGGGGTCTTGGTCTGCCCCCGGGAGGCAGGTGTGAAGCAGGGCTGTGGAAGGAGCAGGCCCTGCCCACTGCGGGTCCCAACCCCGCAGTCTGACCCCAGCGGCTGTGCCTGCCCCGGAGCCCGGGCACAGCCTTGATTTTGTAATTTGTAATCTGTCCCTCGCTTACAGTGCGTCTGCTCCTTGAAAACTTCAGAACCATTGGCCAGTGTGGCTCAGTGGTTGAGCATCGACCTATGAACCAGGCAGTCACGGTTTGATTCCCGGTCAGGGCACATGCCGGGCTGTGGGCTTGACCCCCAGTAGGGGTGTGCAGGAGGCAGCCGACCAGTGATTCTAGCTCATCGTTGATATTTCTCCCTCCCTCTCCCTTCGTCTCTGAAATCAATAAAAATATGTATTAAAATTTTTTTAAAAACTTCAGAAATCCCAACTGATCTCTCCTGGCAAGATTGGTACCTGCAGTTCAGACCTGAGCCTGTCAGACGGGCTGCTGGGCTGTCTTCAGGCCCTCCGGCTCCCCGCTCCCCGCTGGGTCAGGCTGGGCCTCACCCCACCCCCTCATCCTTCCCATCAGTGGAGCACCCCGGCCCTCAGCTCCTCTGGGGGGAGAGCCTGGCCCCTGGTTAGGTCCCAGGAGTTGGGTTCTGTCACTGGTATCGCAGGGCCATGCCCTGGGATGGGGACCAGGGTCAGCCAGTCCCCAGGGGCGTGAGACCGGGCTGAGAAGGCCCCAGGTCTGAGGGGCACCGGGCCCAAAGCTGAGCTGGGAGTGGGGCTGGCTCAGGGCCACCTCCTCCCGCGCCTTCCCTGGCCAGGGAGCCCCAACAGAAGACAAGGTCCGCCCAGGCTCAGGGCTGCAAAGAGCAATGATTCTGGACGCCCCCCACCCCACCTCTTCACAGCAGGAGTTGGTCACTCAGAGCTGAGGGGTCGTAAGTACTGGGGCCACCGCTCATCTATAAAGTGGGTGAAAGCACTGAGGGTCCAGGGGGCTCCCCAATAACAGTAACTACCCCCAGCACTGGCCCATCTGGGGTGGAGCTCTCCTCCACAGCCGCGCAGCCCTCTCACTCCAGCCAGGGCGCCGCAGGGCAAGATGGACCTCCGTCTGGGGTCCTGTCAGGAAGAAAGCGGAGGGGTTCAAGGAAAGGTAGAAGGGGCGGCCTCACCTGGCTGCCTCCTGTGTCCATTCCCATTCCAGGTCCCCTGGACCAGCCATCCACCCAACTACCTCTGCAGGTGGCAAATGGGGACCAGGGCGACACGATGGGGGTGGGGTGTCCATGCGATGACTCCCGTGTCCTCAGGTCTCCATGCCCACCCGGCCCAACACCGGCGGACTCGGCCGGTTGGGTTTGGGGGGGTCGGAGGTCTTAAGGGGGCGCAGGG